GGCTCAGGCGGGGCGGAGCACCGCGCCACCGCGCCGGGGAGCCCCAGGCCAACCCGCAAACACAAAACAAGCCGGGCGCGCGGCTCACGCCTTCGCCCCCGAGACTCTGATCTCCAAGGCACCACCAGAAAACCGAGGGACGGAGCCGGCCGAGCTCAGGCCGGGGCCAGCAGACCCCCCCTTCATAACAATAGTGATGACGCACAGGCGGCCGCTCCCGCTTTCTCCACCTCCCAGGAGGTCCCTGCCCGCAGGGCGCCCCGGTACCGGGTCGCAGGCCGCAGCCCGCCGGGCCCTCACCGCACCGCCCGCCGCGCACCTCTCGCTCTCGTCGGCTGCCTTCTCGGCCTCCTCCAGCTTCTGCAGGGCCGAGGCCAGCCGCTCCTGCGCGCGGTCCAGCTCCTCCTCCACCAGCTGCACGCGCCGGTTCAGCGCCGCCACATCGCCCTCCGCCTGCGGGGAAGGACGGACAGACGGACGCGCGCGTGAGGACAGGCCCCGGCGCCCGGGGATCTCAGCCTCCCCGAGTCTCAATGCCGCTCTGCCCTGCGCCCCAGCGCTGCCATGCTGGCCTGTGAGCTGGATTGCTTCATTATCCACACCGAGGAACATTCCAGCACTCCGGGCCTGGCGTGCGGGGAGCCACGGAAAACAACATAACCAGCGTAGGGCAGGCTGAACCCCAGCACTGGAGAAGAGGAGGCAGAAGGAGCCCAAGTTGGGGACCAGCTGGTGGGGGGGGTAGGAAGGTCCTGGCTCCAAAATCAACCGAGCCAAGAGAAAGCAGAGCCTGAGAGACGCGGGCATGGCACGCCACCGAGGCACGGGCCGGGGTCCCCTGGACGCGCAAGCCCCCCACGGTAGGTAAGAGCTGGCCCAAAGCCGGGCAGGCACCGTGGCCCAGGGAGGCTGGAGGTGAGGATCCCGGCGCGGAGCCGGCTGGGGCAGGAGAGTCCCTGAGACTCTCATCTCCGGCGACCCACCGACAGGCCAAAGCAGCCATCACAGGGTCCTGAGTTCAAGTCCCAGTACCGGCCTCTGCTTCCTCCCCAGCCCTCTGCCCCCCCCAACAAAAACGGGAAGGAACAGGGCCGCACCCCGCGAAGCGGGAGTGGGGCTGCCCGGCGGAATCTGGAATTCTCCAGCCTGGTCCTGCCCGGACCGGCTTGGCCACATACCAGGCCCGGGAGGCCGGAGCTGGGCCCCGGTCAGAGCCGGCTGGGCCGCAGGGCGCTCGGGGCACCGAGCCCGAGGCGCCCGCCCCTCATTCCAGCTGCACAAGAGGCCGCGATCTGAGGATCGCGGTTCGAAGCCAGCCGGGCAGGGACGCCGCGCTGACTGATCTCCCGCGGGCTTCCGAGACGTGGGGTGGAGCTGCGGCTGGCGGGGCGGGCACCGGCGGGGCCGACTCCCCGTCCACCGCAGGCCCGCGGCCCGGCAGCGCACTCCAGGCCCCACCGGGAAAAAGGAGCTGCGGGCGGCCAGGGAGGTTTCGAGAAATGACCAGAAAAGCCCG